AGCCAGCAGCGGCGAGAAGCCGCCTGCCCAAGCGCGGTGGGAGGCAGCAGACAGGAAGAGATGGGGAATGTTCGAGGAGAAGAGCCCTTTATCAAAGACCTTATTTTATCTAATTAGGCGTGAAGAAGTTCTGGAAGCCGTCCGCTGCGTGCGGATTTCTTACGCTTTTAAATCCCGTTTAGTAACTTAGTTATTTGAAAGTTTGTTAGGCGGGGTGCCAAGGGAAGCTGCATTACCCGAACAATGGGATCGCTCGCTTTTTTTCAACACCGAACTGTCAGTTTTTGCAAAAGCAGGCCGTAAACCACTAACTGAAGAGTGCTAATGAGATTTTTTTATTTTATTATTATTATTCCCCTCTTTTTAAAAACAGTATTCGTGGCCTGATTCTGCAGACACCGAGTAATACTGTTCACACAAGTTAATGCTATCTCCAGTTTATTGGCTTTGTTCATGTGCATAAAATGACAAAACATGAATTTTTGCTGGACTAAAGTATGACGTAATCTTTGGCTAACAAAAATCTAGTAGTAGCAGCAGCAGCACTCTAAATGGTAGTAAGTTCCCATGTTCATATATTATTTAAATTAATGCAATTTACTTTTCTAATATAATCTCCATTTTAAAGGCTAAATAATTCTAGGTTTGTGCAAACATATTAAGAACTTTGCAGCGCAAAACCAATTTTGCTTTAACCTTTTTGTATCCCCAGTGAAACTAGCTGCGTATGTACACTAAGCTTTGGAAAAAATAGGGATCTGGAAGAGTTTGAATTACAGAAAAAGGATTGTAACAAAATTCCCAATGTTTCAGTAATATTATTCGATAGTGACAAGTATTGTGCCAAATCCAGCTTCAAAGCATTCTCCAAAATAGCTACTCTGATGTCACACCAGTCCAGAGGAGTAGATTTAACACTATTTGACCAATGTAAAGACTGACACAGAAGTGAAAAACTGCCCAGGAAGACAACAGAAAGATGCCAAAGGGGAGATAAATAAGGCCTCGTTTGGGTGGTCTCACTGTTAGATTACTGCTTATTGGCTGCACTTCTTTTTTACCTAGACCATATGGTCCAGGCTCTTTTAAATGCTTCTTAGAAAATGGACTAACCTGGTTGTGCTCATTTACCCAGACAGGATAATCTCACTAATCTCATAATGGCCCTCAATTTTGAGCATGCACTGGCTTTTGACTAGACTTGTCTGAACAAATGCTTACCATTTTATGGATGCGTGTAAATGTACTCTTTGCTTCCTTCCCACCGTCGTTTGCTCCTTCTTTGGCCTACTACTGTTACTATTTTTGTGAAATTATGCAGCACTTCCAAGATCTCTTCTGTACAAGCTAGTGCTGGTCTCCTATTCAGCAGCTTTTGCTGTTCTGGTTTGCACTGAAGCAACTTTAGATTTTACTAAGGCAGCCAGGTTCACTGCAGGCTAGAAAATCTGCACGTGAATGGAAGGGAGTCTTTTAATGCGGCACACAGAAAGTTGCCCCGTGGAGACAGGGTGCAAACCCAGCATGCCAGCTTTCAGAATGAAGACAGACAGCGTCTCTCAGAAAGAGAATCTTTACTTTACTTCATGCGGGCAATCACTCAGTACAATCTATTGTAGTTTTGTGTTGCGTTTTTTGTTGTTCCCTTCCCCCCCCCGCAACTAGTTATCTCTTCCTTCAACTGCAACTTTTTATATCCTACTCTAGGAGACAAAATAGCAAGAATCTGGACCAGAAAAAAATCCCACCATGCAACCAAATTGCGGTCATCTCCACAACATCCAAGGGAGTGGTGATGACTCTTCATCTTCTCAGAGCACCCACGCAGCAAGGTTGTCAGGAGAGAGCTCGTGCCATCATAGCGGAGATGTTCGCATACAGCTAAACTCTGCTGTGGGAGAAGCCAGAGAAAATGCGAGTTCCCGGCATTCAAGGCCAGGTTCCCAAAGTCGCTCACATGGACACGCCCACAGCGAAGCAGGGGGGCTCGACGATTCTACTCCAGACTCAGAGGAACACAGCGGCAGCTCCCTCTCAGAGCTCAGATACCTCCTCCAGTGGCTGCACAAAAGTCTGCCATATATCTTGATTCTGTGTGTCAAATTGATCATGCAGCATATAATTGGTAGAGTATAACAAAATAAGGTCTGAGGGAACAGACCCTCCCCCCAAAGAGATACACTAATAACCATGCCTAAAATATAATTCAATTTATTTTTAGCTTTATTTTTATTTGCTTTATTAATCAGAAAGAGAGATTTACTAAACTATGTTTCAGTGGCTTCTGTTTCCTTTGCTGGCATATGTACAATGTGCTTAATTATTCCAGCTTGATAGTCCGAGCTATTAATTGTAATTACAAAGACATTAGAAGTGGCTGGTTTTTTAACCCAGTTCAGTAATTTTTTTTTAATTGTGTATAACTGACCCTTTTTTCCTAATAGGCATTTCTCTTGGAATTGGGCTGCTAACAACTTATATATATGCAAACAAAAGCATAGTAAATCAGGTTTTTCTAAGAGTAAGTATCACCCTATGCAACAAAATTCTGTAAGTTAACCAAGACCTTTATCCATCAGTTTTTGAAAGAAATGCGAATGGAGATACTGTTTTATTTACCTAATAATATTAGGTGTCAAGGTTTCAAGATGGAAGTAAACTCTTAATGCTTCTGTACAGTGTAGAGGTTCTCAGATAAGTAAGACTTGCAAAATTCAGGAAGAGTTCCCCCCCCCCCCCCCCCCCCTCACTCATTTTTTAAAGTCCCCCCCCCCCCCCCCCCACTTTGAATATTGAAATCACTTCAACTGATAAAGCTTTTTGGAATTTATGGAGGAACTTCTTAACTATATTTGTGGAATCAAATAGCAGTTGGCAGTTTAAACTTTCAGCTGACTCTGTTCACTCCCAAAGGAAAATCTGTTGTTTCTTCAGACTGGGGTGGGGTTTGGTTCTGTTTTTAGAAAAAACCTTGATACATGCAGAAATTGTTATGTTGAAAACATTAAAATTACTGCTTTACCTTTCCATTGAGTTCTCCTATTTTATTTGGCCTAAAACCACTAAGATAAAATCCTCTAGTAGTAATTCTGTTCAGGTACAACAGACTCGGTGCTTTAGAGATATCTTTAAGACACCGATACTGCGATAAGGACTGTAACATGTCTTTACAATTATCTTACAGGAACGGTGCTCCAAGTTGCAATGTGCTTGGTTACTAGTATACCTAACTGGATCATCTCTCCTCTTGTATTACACCTTTCATTCTCAGTCACTGTATTACAGGTAAGTAGAGGAACATCTCTACTCACACCATAAATTACTCAAATATTAACTGGGAACATTTTATCTGGGCTGCTGCTGTTTTTCTTTAATTGTGGCATCTTTCATTTTAATCTCCATTCCTCCTCTTCTGCCACACTGAATGAGTGCTGTCCTTGAAAACAGTACGTTGGAATTTGCAAGATTAGACCCCATACTCAATGGCACTACTGTACCATGGGGAATGTACCTGGGTTTGATTCCTAGCTTTGACCTTGCCTTCGGAATACTAAATATATGGCATTCTGGGGGGTCTATGGAGTTTACGTCTCCAGGGTTTTTTTTTCCCTTACCATTCTGTAGCTACAGTCTTGGCTGTAAATCAGTCAAAGGCTGTATTGCTAAAATGGGAAAGAAAGCCTATCTCTAGAGGATGGGGGTTGTGATGAAGATACAGGAAGGAAGGTTCAAAAATTGAAAGGTTGTCAGAGATCATAAATGATCAATTTGCAATAAAGAGTTCATTTTCTTAGCAAATGTTTTTCCTCTATGTAAACCATGTTTCCTTTTTTAATTAAACCTGCCGTGATAATCTCTGGTTATGCTTTCCTCTAAATAGGGTGCTCCAGTAACTTCTGATAATTCTTTTTGTAGCTTAATCTTTTTAAACCCTACTGTGGATTTTATGAACTTCTGGGAGGTACTTTGGATTGTGGGAGTCACAGACTTTATTCTGAAATTCCTCTTCATGGGCTTCAAGTGCTTTATTCTCTTGGTGCCTTCTCTTATGATGTCCTTTAAATCCAAGGTAAGGAAACAAGCTATATTTTTGCTTCCTTGTGATGACTCTTTTACAGTAAAATTAGCTAACTATTAAATTCTACCCAGAGAAAAGTCTTTTTAATTAAAAGGTCTGTATAGAATCCACCACTACACTGTGGGCAAGAAAACCCTGTGGATTTCATGTTCTTCCCTGCTTGGTGCTAGGGAAGGTTTACAGTCTGATCTGAAACAATTGCTTGTATTATGTCATCGGATAAATAGGTTTATTTCTGTCTCTAAATGGGGGGATGAAGAAACCTTTTATTTGCTGCAATGTAAGAGCATGTATAGAGGCGGTTAGCACGGAGCAGCTGATGCACAGTAAGTTTTTTACGTGCTCAACAGTAACTGACATGGTAAGGTTTTAAGATCTGCAAACAGCTGTATTTTCTGTCTCTTCAAAACTAATTCTGAGTTTTCTTTTTGTTAATAAACTTAAGCAATATTTGTGTCAGATCAATGAATTTGATTCATAGCTTAATTCCCCAAACCAGTGAAGTTTAATGACTTTTATAGAAGCCTGCACTGGTTGGTGCGGTATTTATTTTTATCCTCTTCCCATGGCAAGACATGCAAAAAACAATTAAATTTTATGTCAAAATAGCAAATACTGGTACTGTTAAAAAAAAAACAAAAACAAAAACCCAAACAAGTATAAAAAAAACAAAACAAAACAAAAACCCGAACAAGTACAGTTTGTACATGATAGCATTTGAACAGGATGTTTTGGTAGGTTTTATCTTTTCAAATGTACCAGGATAAAGTTTTTCTCAGGGACAACCAATTTCTCTAAATACTGGTTTACAATCAAGATCTCCTTTTTTTTTTTTTTCTTTTTTTTAAAGCTAGTGATAAAACATCCAGAAAATAATTGCTGAAGATTCCGTTACACCAACTGTGACCTAAGCTGTGGCTAAATTAAAGGGGGAATCTGGTCAGTAGTGGCAAAACTACCAGGATAAAGTTTTTCTCAGGGACAACCAATTTCTCTAAATACTGGTTTACAATCAAGATCTCCTTTTTTTTTTTTTTCTTTTTTTTAAAGCTAGTGATAAAACATCCAGAAAATAATTGCTGAAGATTCCGTTACACCAACTGTGACCTAAGCTGTGGCTAAATTAAAGGGGGAATCTGGTCAGTAGTGGCAAAACATGGCATTATCCAGTGTAAATTATAGAAAGAGTATTTCTTCCCTGTTATAAATCTAGTTTTAAAGACAAACTTAAGGAAATAAAGCAAGAGCTAAGCTAAATATTTATGATTAAATATGCACACACAGTGCTTTGTGCAGGACACGTGCTTTGTAGTTGTTATTCAGTAATTTTTAGGCTGTCATTGAACTCTCTTTACCTGTTCAGTCCAGCTATTCTATGCTTCTTTCTCCCCCTACCACCACCATTTTCTTATCACCCCATCCTATATAGGAGTTAATTATCACAAGATAAGGCTTCTTACACAGGCATGAAATAATACTTAAGGAAAATAGTTTGTAATTTATGTTTGTTAATAAAAGAATGGTCCTTACTTTTGTTTTTTAATGCTGAATGCAGGACATAACTCTGCTAATGACAAGCTGATGTACGTGACCAAATTTGTCCTTATTTTCCTTTTTCATGTAACTTTTATTTTCTTTTTTAATGCTCATGAAAGTCTGATAGCATTGTTAAGTAGGTAGGCATCTGACAAAGCTATCCTATTTTAGCCTATTAACTTGATTTTCTGCAGTACAGCAATCAATTGTGTTAGTGTTATTTGTACAGTTGTGGTGAGACTCATCATCTGGTCTTTATTTTTTTCCATGCTTCATATTTAGTTGTTTCAAGATACTATGAGAGGAAGTTACTCAAAAGAATAACAATGCATCTTTTCTCTGTATTTTAAAAATCCTTTGTGTTTTAAATCTTGAGCGATTCCTTTGCATGTCTTGCTTAGGGCTACTGGTACATGCTGTTAGAAGAACTCTGCCAGTGTTACCGTATGTTTGTCCCCATACCAGTTTGGTTCCGTTATCTTATTGGCTATGGGGAGCTGGACAGTGCACTAGGATGGACCCTTGGGATATTGCTGGGCCTTCTCTACCTCATCCTAAAAGTATGTAAGCTTTATATTCCTCGCAAACTATTTTGCGGTAATTATCACTGGAGGGTTAGAGGCATATAAACTAACACATTTCTGAATGTTCCCCTGTCTTTGAACTGACTTGCAAGTTGATGCTTCAGTTAACTGATACAGCCTTCCAAAACTGATAGGAATACTGGCTCAGGGCACTAAATCATCTTTTTCCTGCACCTGTTCTGGAAATGGATTGAGGTTGCATAGCAAAGAACACTGTTACTATAGGTCCCCTCACATCAGACATTGATCAGACTGTTACCAGATACTGAGGAAGAGAGCTTGCAAAAATAAAGGTAAAATTAATGGCTAAAAGAATCAACATTTTCCAGGAAACTAGATTTTCTCTCTGCTAGTGCGATGCTAAACAAGTTAAACATAAGTGTTCATACTTGCTGCCTACTTCACCAAAGAGCTAATCTGCCCCAAATGTAACCAGACTCAGTACAAGTCTGGCTTTGAACATGAAAAATACTTTATAATGCTAAGGTATCTTAATTACAAGTCTAAAGACTATTGCATATATGATAATAATGCTGGTATATTTGCACTTGAGTGCTTCATTTCAGAACCTCAACACTATTTTTCTTTTAAAGAACAGATACCTACTGGGAAAAAAACTTCAGGCTAAATTCTTAGTTTGGTTACATATTAAGCAACTAAAATAGGGTCAGTCTGAACTACAGCTTTGCTTATGTTCTTGCCAACATCAAACTAGCAGTGAGACTTTTAACATTGGAGTTTGCACAAAAGCTTGGAAGCTTTTTAGTTCACAGAGAAAAATACTAAGCATAACTCAGGCTTTCTTTCCCATTTCAGCTTTTGAGCTTTTTTGGACAATTGAGAAACTTCAGGCAGGTCCTACGGATATTTTGTACACGACCAGTGAGTACTGAATTATCTTATGACAAAACAATAAACCCGATACTTCTTTTTTAAGTACCTCACTCCTGTATTACTTTGTATTGTTCTAGCAATAGACAACTGCATTTTTAAAGTAAACCCTGTATACTTGTTCTCCCATTTCACAGTCTGAATTCCTTGACTATGTGATTATGTTGTCATCTGAACAACAACAACAAAAATCTATTCTGCATGTCTCTTCAGATAAACGTATGTGAAATAACATACCCTTTTTGTCCTGCTTCCTGCTTTTTAACTGGAATAAATATTGGTTGGATGCAGGCAGAGCTTTATGCTGAAACAGAGTGAGAATTGAAGCTTACCAAAATAGTTGACATGCAAGTAACTCCTGTTAGAATTGTAAGTTTCTAGATAATCTTTCTCTGTAGTAAGAAGTGTTGTTTAGAGTCTGCTATTCATGCAGTAAAATGTATAGAAGATTTTTGGAGCACAGTGTCATTGAACTAAAAGAATAATAAAGCACTTCTCATTTTCTAAGTGCTATCTTGATCAAATTGGAACTTACCACAGCATTTTGCTCAGAGGTCACTGTTAAAATAAAACTGATAGAGATTTTTCCAGTAACTGTGATCAGGGGAAGATACTAACTAGAGAGCATGGTAAGTGGGAGCACATAAGCTTTAGGCCCCAAGACAACTATTAAAAAACTTTTTCGTTGGATTAGGGATTGAATAGTTCCCCTGACATAGCAGCCCTTATTCCCAATTCCTTTCTGGCCTGTTATTTGTGTGTTTTGTTTTGGCTTTCCCCCCGCCCTAGAAACTAATATCTGCTGAAAATATCTTGTTTTACAGCACTATGGGGTGACAGCTAGCAAGAGACAGTGTTCTGAATCGGATGATATTTGCTCAATCTGCCAAGCTGAATTTCAGAAGCCTATTCTGCTTATCTGTCAGGTAATACACATAATCAGAATTATTCTTTGCAAACTTTAAAATATTTTAAACAACTGGTAAACAAAACTACATAAAGTTAGATTAGTGAGTCTTCTGATTATTTTCAGAAATCAGGCTATGCAAATAATATACCGTCTCATAAATGGAAGAGCTTAGAAGCTCTAAGTTCTCATTCTTTTCATTACAGCACACATTTTGTGAAGAATGCATCTCTTTATGGTTTAATAGAGAAAAAACGTGTCCACTCTGCAGAACTGTTATTTCAGACCATGTTAACAAGTGGAAGGATGGAGCTACATCTATGCATCTACAGATTTTCTAAAGCATGTCAAACAACTTGTTTTACAGTTTGTTCAAGCTAAGGTTTTTCAGTTTACTACAGATTAAATTGTAGGTGGCACAAGGAACGAGTTTCCAAATTCTAGATACCATGCTTCTATGAAATGTTCCAGTATTTAAAACAGTGCAGAAAATGTTAACTTGACCTTCTTAAGTATAGAAAAGTAAGTTTTCAGAATGAATGGAGACAAGCCAGCATTGCTTCTCTTGTGATTCTTGTAGGAAACAATCAAGTCCTTGAAAAATGCTGCATTACTTCTTGCAGCAGCTTCTGATTTCAACATTTTATTTAAAACTTTAAGTAGAGTTCCAGACTGTACTAAATTGTATTTATCCTTCTAACATGACTCAACCCAAAACGTCAACCTACCAATTTTATTAAGATTACGAGCAAATTTTATACTCTGGACTACAGTGAGAATTAGAGCTACTTGTCCCACTTGGCATTAAAGGTCCTTTAGTGCTAGCCCAGTAGATCAGAGAAATTAGCTGCTTATTCATGCACCTGTAACAGCAACTATTTCTCACTGTACCTGGAGATAAGCCACAAGAATAAGACATTTCCCCTTTAGGTTCTTGTAGACTTCTAATGGATCTTTGGCTTAATACATAAACCAACCACTGATGTTAGTTTTTTACTTAGCATTTTATAAAGTTGGTATTTTTAAAACAAATCTTTAATACTATATTTTTGTCATAACAGGAACCAGATTTTCTTACAGGGGAGAATATATTTTATACTATATTTGCAATTTGTAGTATGCATAAAAATCAGAGAGAATAAATGCATTTAAATCTCTTTGTTTGGTGCATGTTGAATAAAGAAACAAGATTCATTATTGTTTCAGTATTAACTTACATGAAAGCACGTAACAGCTCGCTGCTAGGTATACTTTTCCTGTTAAACTAATGTCTCTGAAAAACAAAAACAACTCCAAATGCTACAACTTATTCATGACTAGTCTTTATGCTAATTATAGCGCTAACTTACAGACAATCTCACCTTTTTTTCCTGCTTGTCTTTTTTCACCTTGCTATTCAGATAAGACTAAAAAAAACACTGAAACTTTTCTGATACAGCAAAGTTAAGTTGAGTTGCCATTAACTTGAGCTTGTCGTAACTGAATACCTTTAGGAAACTTCTAAATTAGGGAAAACACAGAACTAAAAAGTTAAACACTTACTTGATGAATAACGTAGCAACTCAAATGACCAGGCAGACTGACTGAGAACTATAAAGTTGCAGCTGACACAGCCAGATTTATAGGGCTGACAGAGCATGATGGGACAGTGCCCTTAAAGGTACAGCTAAAAGTGTAATACTAGTAGAATTTAGTATTCTGAATAAAAACCTAATGAGATCGAAAATTCAAGCTAAGAGGTATCATTTTATGTTCAACCTGGGTTTTGCTATAGCATGCTGTGTATTTGCTAATTGTATTTTTGTTTGAAGTTTACTGCAGTTCAGAGTAAGCGTGCCCTATGATTGTTCCACCATGGTATCTGAGTGACTGGGGAAAAAAGACTCAAGCTTAAAGAAAACAGGCAAAAGCTTCTAAGTCTGTAATTGGAATCTTATGGGAGTAGAAGAGACTGGTTCTCATGGAAGCCTTTCCCAGCAGGTGAGGTATTTAGTTTGGGGAATGTACAGCTGAATGGTGTTAGAGCAGTCCTGGGGGTGGCAGGGAAGAATCAGAGCTTGGCCACAGCCAGAGCTGTGCTGTAATGGGCTCGTGCCTGTACCTCCACTATAGTCAGAACAAACTGCTCTTTGTTTCCTCAGAGAAATCTAGCTATGCCTTAGCTTGCATGTGAAGTTCATACAAGATCAGAACTGTTTGTTATTTAAATTTCATCAGTGCTGATACTCAGACTGCTGCTGCAGCAGAACGTCCCTTGAGAGATGGACAAGAACTGAATGAGTCAAGGAACAAAAAAGAGTAGGGCGAACTTAAGGTTGGATTCTGAATCTCTGATGGGCCCACAGACTTTGGCAGCTCACTTGGTTACACAAGCATATTTAGACCTTCCCAAACTTGATCATGAACATACAGTTTAGCTAAAGAGTGTTTTAATGTGTTTTTCTTCATACAGGTATTGTGTGAGTACTGTGTAAACAATTTGAGTACTATATTTAACTTAGTAAACAAATGGCACCTTTAAAAAAAGCTTTGCTTGTGTGAGTAAAATGCATGACTAAGCCCGATACACAGTTCATAAGGGCAGATGTAATAACCAACCCTTTCTAAAATACTGGGCAACATAAAAATTTTAACTTATCCTGGATTAGCTTTTCCTGGAATGCTAATACCAACAGCTTAATCGCTTTTTAATTCAAAAATCCTCTCAGAGAAAATAGAAACTAAAAATCATTAGACTTGGACATGATGTTAGAGCAAGGAAATGCACTTCCTAATACTTGAATATGGATTAAATTAATTGCTTCCAGTAATGGGTAGCCATTCATTAGAATTCCAGTACTCTGTGACAGACTTTCAAAAACCTTTTTAGAACAATAGGTCTAAATCACCTAGTCCATTCCTGGAATATTAACTGGGAAGGTACAGATTCTGAGATGCGCCAGCTGCGTAGTACAAACAGTTGTCCTGAAAGCACTACCCTGCTGACTAAGGGAGAAGATCTGAGAAACAAGTATGCTTTCTTACTGCCTTATCCCCAAGCTGAGTAAATAGCAGCCCCGTTGCTCATGCAGCAGGGAACACTGAGAAGGAAGCGTGCCATTCCATCAGATAAGTTACGTGGTCCTGGCACTGTGCTTTCACATCGTGCAAAAGGACAACACACGCATTCTTGCATGGATGCCGTTTGTGAGCAAAAGCCTGCAGCGAGCCTCCTGCTGGTGCTAGCTTACGCTCATGATCTGGTAGAAGCAGAGTCATGACAGTGCAAAGCTGAAGTGGTCCGTCAGGACCAATAGCTTGGACTGGCAGACCTAAGATGAACTAGGAAGGTAGTTACAGATCAAGAAACATGCTGCTTTACACATATACATTCAAAGTATGCAGGGAAATTTGAAAGAAATTAACCTGAACTAAATATTCTTTTGCTGTAGAACAAAAGTATTTATAAACTACTTACCTCAATACGTAGTTCAGTATCTGAGACAGATACCGTACATTGAGGAATTAAGGCATCAAGGACTGTATGCAAGGCCAGCATTATTACTAAGAAGTATGAAACTAATTTAGAAGTATTACACTTGTGGTTAAGAGAAAAAAAAAGAAATCGACACAGGAACTCAACAGCATTATCTGGCCTGTAAAGCTCACCAAGACTATTTTATGGAGCACAACAAAACATGGTGTCAGTGCTTTAAGTCAGCCCTGGACTGTTGCTGATCCTTTGGTCTTTGTCTACCACATGGTAGTAACAACTCCTTACTAGAATAAGGGTGGATATTGGTCAGAGACAGGACCAGGGAACAATTTGTCTTTTATTCTGTCTCTGTTGATGATTTTTTTTCCTTTACGATCCAGTGAAAATTATCCAATCCAGTAATATTATCAAACACAGTTTATTAAAAAATAAAGAACTAAAAAGAGATTTTGATCAGCCAGTTCAGATTTACACTTCATAAATGAAACAAGTCATTCTCATCTTAGTTACAGAGCGGAAAAAAGTGAGTAACTTACATCCATGAATGACATCCTCTCTGATCCGCTTGTCAGCATCATGCTATTAAGATGCAACTCTTCCTTATCAAGCCCACTCAGGCCGGGGTAGCTGCCCTGCTTTCCACAGACACCCAGCACACGTCTGACTCTGCAGGAGACAGAACAGAGAAGAGGATGACAAATGGCAATCAATAGCCACTTTTTAAGAGCCCAAGAACCTAGATGAAGGTACCAGCCCTTGGTAAGACAGACCGATCAGAACTAGCACTTGTCAAGTCCTTTTAAGTTCTAAGTGGAATTCCTCCTCCCTCCCTTCCCCTTCAAAGCTGTCATGAAAGACAATGATTTAGATCCATAGTTACACTTAGGGCCTACCTACTTCCTTAAAAAAAAAAAAAAAAAAAGGTCACTTGGATTAGCATATGTTTAAATTTGCATTTAATTGCTATTCACATCCATCTTATTCAGCGGTTGAGTATATTTAGTTCCAGTAAACTGTGAAAGATGAAAAACAGAATAGCGATTACCTTTATTTCTACTAAGGCAGCTCAAGTTTGTTTCTTGCAGACAGCTATAAAGCCAAGTTAATCTAGAAGAGAACAATCTGTAGAAGTTCATATATAGGAACTGCATACAGTATATCATCAAGGATCTGCAGGAAGAATATTTAAGTAATTTGCCTTGTTCTTAATAACTTCTCCTCCTCCTTTACCCCTTAGGGTAAAGGATTTCCTTCTAAGCTGGGAAAATGAAACAGCAACTAGCCTGCTGTAAAGACAGAATTTAAAAAAAAACCCACCAACCGAAACCCAAGCATCTGTCCTAAGAACAACAGTAGTCTCCCTCAATGTTTGATGCACTTTTTGATTAACAGTGAGAGCCGGCTGGGAGTTAATATTAAGAAGAGAATAGACCCAAAGTAAACATCCACTGTATAGTTAGAGTGGACTCAAATACTAAATGTTCTCCAGCAGTTCAGCTTTTAGATAGCAAGACAAAAAAAAGGGATATTCAAAATAACAATTGACTCATTTATTTTTATCTTTTATTATGAGCTAATACCAGGATGACATTCAAATGTCAGATGGCACAATTAAGACAGTCTTGGTAGGAATTATTCCAGCATTCCCAAAATTACAATTTAGTACACGAATGGCATCAAATGTATGCATCACTCCCACAGAGAAAAATTATGAAATTCTGAATATCTTATACCAGAATAGTTTCTGCATTAAATGGGAAAAGAAAAACTGCTGGTAACACAGCTGACCTATAAACCTTTTGTGATAATGACCTGCAGAACAAAATATTCCCCTATTTAACATCTAGTAAAAAAAAAAAAAAAAAAAAAACTTGTTCAAGTTTAAGATTTAATACTTTTATATGGTTAGCCACAACAGGTATTAACCTCAGTTTTACTATATTTTTGTAATGCTACAAAAATCCTATAAAATCAAATTATAGTGAATTTTTCAGTGATTATAATTAAAAAAGCGCAGCTTGTACAAAATAAAAAAAATAAGATTCTATACTCTAATGAAAAATTTAAGACATTTTTAAATGAACAAAAGAAAGCACTTGTTAAGCTCTCCAATATTCAATGCATTCTGCACTTATCTGAAATAGCCAGACAGGAGCTAGAACTCCACTCCCCTTAGTTCACAACTAGTAATTTTGATACTATTATATATATATAGAGGATCTATGTCTGATATTTTTACAAATAAATACAGGATAAACCATATTGCATAGTGTGTGCTTGCTGTCTGAGTCACACTCCAAAAGTTTCACAGTTACGGTAGGGAATTAAACTTATAATCTATGGGATGAAACATTGACAGTACATGAAATTTAATTTTAAAACCGATGAATTGTATCTGTAATTAATCAGTGAACTCAGACAAACAACTCTTGCCATTCTTGCCAGCCATATTAAACCAATTCTACTGGACAATTATATCCAGCCAACCAAAAAGCAACTGTTAGCTGTAACTAGGACCAAGAGAGATCTGCCTCAAAAAAGTTTTTTTTTTTTTTAAACTAAGTTCCTTTATACTCAGTAAACACATTGGGAAACCTATGTTAACAAGTGGCACGGAGAGGCACTGCTTGAAGTGTTGCGTATTTGCAAATATGCATAATACAAACACACATGAGCACTTTGATTTCAGTTTCACAACATGTCACCAGTGGCCGTATTACCAAAGGAAAAATGGCAATCTTCCAGTACAATTTATGTCGCTATAAGGTAACTTGATTTTCCTTATAAAACTAAAAAAAGAAACTTTCCAAGAAAAGGCTTATCAGGAAGAAAAAAAAATACTAGTTTTTGCTCAATCATAACCATCATCTTTGTTGGTTCTTTGTTAGCATCAACAAGGTATCGATGAATCCTTGTGACTTGTAAATTTTAGAAAACAGCACTCTGATTGGATTCGACACGCTTAGAGAGTTTTATGGCTTGGATCCTATGGCTCAAAAAGATTCAGTATACACAGAGTAAGCAGAATCTGTAAAAAAATCCCTACTGTTGTGAAACATAGAAGTAGACTTTGCACAGTTTGACTAAAGATAATGCAACGTGTGGCAGGCAAAAAGTGACAGGACTTGTATGCAGTTGCATGATCATATACACACACACGCACACACCATACACACTCTAACTAGTGTAAAGCTCTGCAGATATTAACCCTTTCACCAGCTATGTTCATGGAAATGCTTTCTTTAAGGCAGGAAGTATTTAAGTAAGGTAAAGTTACCTTTATTTTATTCTTTGTACCTGTAAGTCATTTGTACAGATTGTGACAATTTCAAAAACATAAATAGTGTCCTTAGAACATGTTTCCTAAATTAAGTTGCTAAAGTTCTGACCCACTGTGGAAGACATTCACTGAAAGGCCATTTAACACTTTTCTCATACAATCAGCAAATTTATTGCCCCAGCATAGAAAAAAATGTTGATAAATTTAGAAATGTATAATGGCAGGGAACGCCCACAAGCAAAATTTTATTTAAAAAAAAAATTCCTCAAATTCTTACCCACTGGTTACAAAAAGGTTTGTTTCCTTACACTATGTAGAATTGGCGTATGTTTCCTGTGGTACTTCCTGTATGTTTCTACTGACCTTGTACTCCGATGCACTTTTTCCTGATCTTTTATATGGGTAAGAATCTGAGCGTATTCAGCTGTCTCCGTCTAAGGACTAGCGTATACAAAAGTGATGTTTCCCAGTGAAATGTCTGCTGAGGACAAGGATGAAATAAGCAGGACACGTTTGTGAGCCCATGGCTTCCAGTTAAGCCTAGAACATAGCAGCATTGCCATTTGATTAGATCCATTTGTCTTTGCAGGAACAGGTATTTCAGCTGGGTAAGCAAGTGAAACAGTTCTCTCCCACCCCACATTGCCAAGCTGGAAATTGAGTGATTTGCTTATTGATTTGTTGTTTCATGAGGAGAAGAATCAGAACTAGAGCCTTTACTTTCTTCACAGCAACCAATTATTTTGCATTTTTAATTTTGGGATACTTTCCATAATGAGCTGAATCAAAAAATCTATTTGAAAAATATATTTTTATATATATAAAAAACTCATTATGTTTTGAATGTGAAATACCAATTAATTTTATCTTTCATCTTTGATTCCACCCCACTGTAGGAAACAGCTTAACCAAGCTTGCATGCTAATTATTCCTCAGACGCAAGCAAATAGGCATTTCATACTTTGCCTAGTGAAAGGGCTAACCCTCCTTGACACATTCACAACTAGACCAGTGATTCTGAAGCAACATCCTGACCCTTAATACTGTCAGTTTCAAGCTATCAAGCTGAAAAATCCTTGATAAGGTGAGAAGATGTCACTGCGAATCAGTTAGATGATGTGCCTAGAGTTCTGCAATACCATTTTCTAAAGTTTTTTATGCACCATTGATTGACAGAAAAAAATCCGTTTTTCTTTGCTTTCCAAGTCGCTCTGTGCAATGACTGACTCTTTGATACTGTCACTTTTTAAAAGTAAACCATACAAGCCCTCGTATTTCAACTTCAAGGGGGCTTATGTCCGTTCTTTGTTTTCCACCTTCAAAGGCTTAAAAAAATTGTGTTGTCATAGATTCATGCGCAAGTGCTCTGGTCGTTTGGAAATCATGGGAAAAGCTTGTTTTTTATATGGCCCAGAGTTTGGTTGCCGGATTGGAAGTGGTGCTGAGGCCTCTCCACAGACTGTCACATCCATTTGTTCTATTCCACTTGTCTCCATTGGATATTCCACAGGTGTCTGAGTATTTGATGCGCTGGCAGAAGCACCTCTTCCCCAGAATTCCCCAGGGGAAAACTTTACAGGGCTTTAAAACAAGAAATATAAAAATCAGAGATGAAGATACACACAGCACCAAGGTATGTCCTTTACTCTGCAGGAAGCTGAACTCAAATGCCTATTGAGAAGCATTTCTAATTCTTCCTTCCACTACCAGAAGTTTGAGAACATTTCCATGTCTAGCTTCTACCGTGGTCTCTTGGAAAGTAAAACTGGCTCATTTGAGTAGTGAGGATATATTTCTAGATGACTGCAGAAGGAATTTTCTGTACTAACATGATTCTTCAGCGGCACATAAGTACTTAGGATGTTCTGAAACAGTTCTAGTGGAATGGTGTACCAAAGTCACCAGACTGCAAGGCTGTATCGGCGTTGAATAGCAAGCAAGTTAGTACTTCCTGTGCTGCCAAACACCATGGATTTGTCTCTAATAATGTGGTTTGCAAAATAGGATCAATGCTGCACTTCTAATGGAAATGATGGGCTTACTGAGAAGAAAGGCCGCATTTTTTATTTCTAGTACAGATCTATTTCAACTACTTGCCAAAAAGTGTATTACAAAAAAAGAAAGGGAGGGGGAAAAAAAAAAAAGATACCTGACTGGTGTCCTAGGGCTACCTATGAATCTGCGAGGTGATCGAATTTTTGGTTCAAAAGAAAATTTCTCTTTTACGCTTTCAAGTACAGATGGAGCCACATACGTAAAACCCTGCAAAACAGGAATGAATGCACTGTAACTTACAGGCAAGATTTACATTTATGATCACTCGTGCAGTTACAATTGGCATGAAGTAGTAAATGAAAATTATAAAAAGGAGAGTAAATGTAGAGATAGGAAATTCTACTCACTTCCTGAAGCAAACAGCAGGACTTTAGGGAGTTCCTCACCCGGGTGCCTGCACACCCCAGCTATTTCTACTCAGATCACAGATTCCCACAGGCATGCTCAATTCAATTAATTTTGATCTATAGAATGGACATTGTTCTCTCTGCATGACTATGAAAGCAATCACATGTCCAGGGTTCATAATGCAGCTATGAATTAGAATGCTGACATTTCAGAAAGTAAGCAACATTTGTTGGCTGTTTTAGCTATATAAAGAGAACGTCAGCAATAATCAGACTAAGTATTTTCAAAGCCCTTAAACATTTCAAACCTGCTGCAGAATGCGTGTTTAAAATTACAGTAGTTTGCTTCAAGTATCGGGTGGTAAGATTCAATAGAATTAATTTACCTGAAAGGCCCTACTGTTTCCAAGTAACACAACATACCTCTCCACAGTTACACGCTCGTCCCTGGCTCACTTACCAGAAAGACCTGGTTGGCACTTTCACTGAGAGTAGAGTCATCTGGGCTATCAACAGGTGTCTGACGTGTAAACTTTGAATCAAACTGGCTCACATCCTCTTCAGATTGCTTTGCAAAAACAAAATGATTAAGGGTTTATATTACAGATATCAACCAAATGGCTTAGCGGTGATCAGTGTAGCCTCTGGATGGAGTTCATTCCATAGATTTTTGGCAGAGCTCTGCTGTAGTAAAACCCTGGAGTGGTGTCGGAATCCTGTCGCTGCCAGTGGGAGGTCACTATGGGCACTGACACTGAGAAATAAAGGCAAGGGGGAGGGGCAAAAATTATGGATCAAAAAGGAACACAAATTCAAAAGATGCCTTTAAAAAAAAATCTCAAATTGCAAACAAAAACTTTTAGAAATACAATGCCAGTTTCTTGCAAGTTTAGCCCTCGTCACAACCAGTATAGAACAGTCGCAACTATTAGTTTTTGGAATTCCATCCCATTTTTGCAGATGCAGAAGTGTTTATATTGTGAGGGATAGATGGCAACTCTGGAATAAGTGACTATGAAGAATATTGTTTAATTCAGTCGAAGAACAACAGACATAATTCCAAGATCCATTCTCTCATTCATAAGTGTAACTGAAAAGGCAGCATGTATTCATTTGTGCAGGCCTTCATGCAACCATGGAAGCACATTTTCAAAAGCCATCTGGTTTGTACAAGCAACTTCCATAAAATTCGCTAATAACAGAAAAACCCAAAACTACCTTCAGATAATTCATTTAGAAATATCAGTCTTGTGTCATTCTGAATTTCATTCAAAATGGTGAGGGGAAAGAAAGATCTGGAGTCCCCACGCTGTAGTATGCTCAACATCAGTGATGCCTAAGTCAGTTTAAAGTGAGATATTTAGTAGTCTGGAACTATCAGGGTGGCAATACCCAGTGCTGCTGTAGCTAATTGTACCCAGAGAGAAAAAAAGACAGACGCCCCACACCATCAAAATATAAGATAGGATAATAGAGGCTTATTCATCACATCACTGGTTTGAGGTAAACTTTAATTACCACCTATAATGCGCAAGATGCATTGTAAATATTAATAAGCAAACACATAAAATGCTTAATTAGGTGACTTCATTTACTTTTGCTCAGCAACTATTTATCATCTTAGTTTCAACTAAGTACTGACTTACTGTATAATGTTTAGAAGCAGAAATTCAGAGAGAACTGCACTTGCAAGTCTGTTTAACCTACAGATTAGAAGCAGGAGGAATTAAAACTGAAGCAGAACCTTCTTCCTCCAGGAGACTGAACAGAAGGATAAATTAGCTCTTAGCTGATTTTGCCACCTTCTCACAAGCAAGATCCTATTCCAGTGACAGATGAGTAGCGTGACTACAGAGTAGTAAGACAGAACAGCACGCTCATGACAGCCAGTATTTCGTACTGTGTGGAGACTTAAAAGAAAGAGGTTTTTTTAAATGTTGATATAGCATCAGTTCTCAGGAGAAGAAAAAGAAATCTGCATGAGGTAGTTTCTCTCTAATTTGACAACAGTGAATCTAAGAACCAGTAGCCTAAGTTGATGCATTTAACTATTTAAAGTACCAGAAATCAATGGCACTCCAGTTTATAAGAGTGAGCGTTTCTAAGTTTTAGATTCCACATTGTTTAAGACCTTTCCTAAAGGCATACAAGGAATATCTCACGGCATTCTGAGTACATACCAATAAGGGTTTAAAAGGAGGTTCCACCTTTCGTGCCAACAGCTCATCCCAGTTAATGTGTCTGAAGAACGGGTGAGCCTATAAGTTAGCAATAGCAGAGAGTCATAATCCACCTTCTGGGTATAAATCACAGAAATTTAAGCATTAATAAGCATGTTCTTTTCAGACCCTCTCTGTGGTGTCTTTCTTTCCAAAATCACATATGGGTCTAGCGCAATATATTCTGCAGCACTACATCAGAGTAGCTGGAAGAGATGAAAATTGATACCATACCTCCAAGTCAGACAACATATGTCCCTATCATGTTTTCCTTGAAAGTATTAGAAAAAGTCAGTTGACATGCAAAATACCTCTACATTTTTCAACTTTAAAAGTTAGAAAAATAATGATAAAACACTGCAATAATGACAAATTATCAAAACTGTGAAATAAGGAGGACTCTAGTACACTGTTAATCTCACCACAAAAAAAGTCGAGCTGGAAGCAACAAGAACTAGGCCTCTGCCTTAACTTTTAACTATGCAACGCTGAATGCAAACTAACAACACTTTTCCCTTGAAAGAGCTGCACTAAATGCAAGGGATAGCAGGTTTTTTGTCAGACTGCTAAAGTATCATTGCTCTTACACAGTTGACGGTACAATTAGCATTGTGCAACTAGCAGAAAAGATCTACTGGAAGACGGAGCTAAAGAATAAAAGTTTTTTTCCAAATCTCAAATTATCAAATAGGTAGACAGCTGCTTTCGTTAAGCTTTAAAGTATTCAAATTTTGATCAGTTGTCACGTGTGGCTGCCTTTTTGCTCATTACACTCGAAGACAGACATACTCTCCTTCCATGATGTACCCTCAAAGCTGTTTTATTTTCAGTGAGGTAATTTAGGAATTCTTGAATTGAGCGAAAGTTACCTGAACTTCTCCAGCATCTCCAGGACCAGCTCCTAGACGTGAGGCAGCATTTCTTTTTAGCAGCTTAAGGAGAAGTAACATCCAAACAAGAAAAATTAGTTACACCGTTATGACTAGACTAGTTCTGACATGAATCATCATTTGAATGAATACCATGCAGAATGAATACAGAACAATCAGAAAATCTGTATTCGTTAGAAAACAACTGTATTTTCAAGGAAAATCACTTTCTGTACCATGCAAAAACAAGACTGACTTAGTAGTAGTAAAACAAGCATGGACTGAATAGCCATAGTGGTATCATTATAGTTCTGTTTTCTACATACACATGTAGTACTAACGTTCATTAAAATTCTACCTTTTTAAGCAGATCTCTGGCTTCTTGTGTGAGGTAGGGAGGCAAGTTGAGTTTACACTTGAGAATCTTGTCAATTGTTTTCTTTCTGTTCTCCCCAGTGAAAGGAGGCTAGAAAGCACCATTGTAACGGGAGGAAAAACAGGACTTGTTCAGGTCTCTTATTTGTGTACACAGGACTCACTTCAGTAATTTATAAAGCAGATAAAATTACTGCAAGTGGGACTTCCAAATAACTGTTTGGATGACAGCAGCTCGCGACTGTAGTCAACATAAGCATAGCCGTATTTTAGTTATACTTCTTACTTGCAGTTTGTATATATACAAATATATAGGTATTTATACATGCATCTGAATTAGAATACAGGTAGCTACAAAAGCTACAAAGAGAAATACATGCAATTATAACTGTGCACCTACTGCTCCAGTCAGCATGTCATACATTAATGCCCCCAAACTCCACCAGTCCACAGCACGATTATGCCCACTCCTCATCAAGATTTCGGGGGCCCTATAATCAGAAAAATTGAAAATATGAAAGTATTTTAACAAGCTTAATACTAATTGTGACTACTAGTTTTCAAACAAAACCACATTTATCAAGTAAAATTTCCGTAAGTGAATGAACATATGAACCATCAGTTAAAAAAGGCAAAATGTAGCCATTACCCCCAGACCAGAGTAATACTTTTCTATTTCATCATGCAGCTCACATGTATTCAATTGTTCCACAGAATGTGTGTGTGACTGTTCCATCGTGAATAGATTCTTTACATAATCCGAAGTCCGTCAATTTTACATGACCTGAAATTAAACATATAAAATTTAAGACTTGCCAGAATTCTGACATTTGTATAAGTAACATTAAAAAAACAGGAATTTTTAACATGGATACGTAATAACTCTGAACTACTTCCAGATATCTTCGATGGTCTGACAAAGCAATACAGCTATAAAACAGAATGAGGTAATCACACTTACAGATAAAACCTCTGCAGTATACCTGCGTAAGAAAGCGTTGCCACTTGGTGAAGAGAAACAAGACAAACTACCAAAACTTATTCACATACAGACAAATGTAATTAAAAATAAAGATTGCAGAGCATCATTCAGGTAAGAAAGTAGGCTATCGAATTTTACCCGCTTGCTTCAAAGTTCAGAGAACAACCTTCAACAAATTGTAAAGTGCCTTGAATAATTCGGTACAAAGACTTAGACTAAGTAAATAAGTTGTTTAAGGTAACATGAAAATACTGGCTGGTACAGACTGCCAGCCTAATCAGTGTCACACAGTCAATGTAAGAGTGCATTCAGGAATTGCTACTGCTGTCAGATAAAGTGTCAACAGCTAGGTAAGTCATTTCAGCTACAGATGATTTGGCATCCTACCTAAATTGCCTTTCCTAACTAACGTCTTCAGTCTTCCCCATTTCAGGCCTGGCCTGTATCAGAAATAGTGTGGCCAGCAGGAGTAGGGAAGTGATCG